TGTGAGGGCTTTCAGATTTCCACCTGGGCTGCGTTAGCAGAATTATACAGATATATAACTGTAAGGCTCACTGTGTCACGATGCCCCCTGTTTATCAGCCAAATAAATGTGTCTTTTTTCATGGCGAAAAGGACAGCAGGGCCAGAAAATGTATTTAGGCCAAGTTTGCATCGTCGAGGAGGAGGAAGTGACACGAGCAACAACTTCCTCTTTCATGCATTCTATTGCAAGTGGCAGACATGTTTGCTGTTATCTCTGCTCCTGTATACAAGACACTAGTGTTATATGCTAGTTAATAACTTTTATATAAGATAGCTACATATTTCTTAAAGTATGAAAGCCAGTCATGACACAGGATCCAGAAACTACATTCCCACACAATCCTAAATCATGGCTCTAGTGGTTTTAGAACCATTGGACGGTAGTGATCACAACATGATTAAATTTGAGGTTAATTTTAGTGTCCGTAGAGCAAGGTCCAAAACAAAAATAAACAATGTGAGGAAGGCTAACTTTAATGGAATGAGACTGAAACTAGAAACTGTAAACTGGATGGAGTTAAACAGCAAAACTGTTGAAGGGGGAGTTTTTTAAAAGCACGTTGTTGCAAGTTGAGGGAATAATTTTATAAGGGGAAATAAATGGAATGATTCTATAAGGCTGTAACTAATCAAAACGAGAACTGACTGGCGCGCCGGCAAGGCAAGGCTACCTAATCGGAACAAAAAGGGGGGCGACAGAGAATATCAGCGGCCCCTACTTACCTTTTAGCCTTCCAGAAGGACAACTACGAGCCGGCTAACGAGGGCAAGTGTCAAACGTGGTTGTCACGTACACAGAAGGTACCGAGAAAGGGGGGGAGATGCCCAAAGGGCTTTAAAAGGGATACAGCTGATACATATGGTTGAGCTTCCTCCTGTACATGCTGAATGTATGTCAGATGGCCGCCCCCGGATTGCAATCTGTCAGACAATAAACCGGTGATTTGCAGCTTCTCCCCGTGTCGGCTGTGAATCTCTTCTCATCCACGGACCCGGTGGAGACGCCGTGCTCCAACAAAGTGCAAGAGGACTTTATACCTGTTTCCAGCAAAACTAAATCTAGGAAACTGCAGCCAAGGTGGTTTACTATGGAAATTAAGAATAAAGTCAGGAGGAAAAGGGCTCTCTTCCACAAATGTAAAATAGCTAATGATTTCAAAATAAAGCAGGAGTACCTAAGTCTACAGGTTGAGTAAAAAAATAACATTAGACTTGCTAAGAGGAATGTAGAAAGGAAGATTGCATTGGAGGCTAAGGAAGACATTAAAAGTTTCTTCCAATATTTTAACTCCATAAGAGCTCTAAAAGCTGAAATCACTAATCTGCAGGATAGTAAGGGTCTTGTAATTGAAAATGAAATTGATATAGTAAATGAGTTTAATTATTATTTTACATGGGTGTTCACAGTAGAGAACACAAGTAGCCTGCCACCATTTAGTACAAATACAGCGTCGTCTATCACCAATATATGTGTAACTGAGGCTGATGTGGTACTAAGCCTAGCTAAGCTCAAAATAAATAAATCGCAGGGCCCTGATGGCATCTTACTTATAGTTTTAAAAGAGATGAGGGATATTATTAGCCAACCTTTAACATTACTATTTCAGAAATCCTTATCTACCGGTGTGGTACCTTCTGTTTGGAAGAATGGTAATATAACACCCATATTCAAAAAAGGGGATAGAAGTAATCCAGCAAACTATAGGCCAATCAGTTTAACTTGCATAACTGGAAAGGTAATGGAAGCTATAATGCAAGTGAAAATGATAGATTACCTGGATTCAAATAACATTCTGAGGGATAGCCAACATGGATTTAGGAGAGGTAGGTTCTGTTTTTAACTAATCTGCTTGATTTCTTTGAGGAAGCTACAAGAGAAATTGATCACAAAAAGGCCTACAATGTGATCTACTTAGATTCCCAGAAGGACTTTGATGTTGTCCCCCACAAAAATGGCTCTTGCTTAAGCTCAAAGCTGCAGGGAATTTAGGAACTGTAGCAGCTTGGATCGAAAACTGGTTAACAGACAGGAAACAGTGGGCCTGCGTTCATAGTGGGATACCGCAGGGTTCAATTTTAGGACCATTATTGTTCCTAATTTACATTAATGATATTGACACCAATACATACAGTAAACTGGTTAAATTTGCAGGTGACACCAAGGTGGGTGGTGTAGCAGATACTAAATTAGCAGCACAGAGGCTACAACGGGATCTTGGTTTAATTAGCGACTGGGCTGATACCTGGCAGATTAAATTTAACATAGATAAATGTAAGGTAATCCATGCAGGAAGCAGAAATATATCTGTCCATCCATCGATTATCTCCCGCTTATTCGAGGTCGGGTTGCGGGGGCAGCAGTCTCAGCAGGTAAACCCAGACTTCCCTCTCCCCGGCCACTTTATCCAGCTCCTCTGGGGGAATCCCGAGGCATTCCCAGGCCAGCCGAGAGACATAGTCCCTCCAGCGTGTCCTGGGTCTTCCCCGGGGCCTCCTCCCAGTGGGACATGCCCGGAACACCTCACCAGGGAGGCGTCCAGGAGGCATCCTATGCAGATGCCCGAGCCACCTCGTCTGGCTCCTCTCAATGCGGAGGGACCCGACCTCGGATAAGCGGAAGTTAATGGATGGGTGGATGGATGGAGAGGTGTTTGCTCTCCTTGTGTTTAGAGTCCATGGTGGATCCACTGGTTTCTAAACTCTGCAGCAGCTCTCTCAATACGTGGTAAGTATTTATAGTGCAGACAAAATAAACACCATCCGCCATCTCACTAATTTATTTATTTTTTTTATTTATGGTTTCCATCCAAATGCCTGTGAATAAAAAAATCTCTGCTTAGATGTGGTACATATTGTCACCAGTAGCCTACGGTTAAAACACTTCACTATAACAACAGACATGGGTTCAATTCGTACTCCTTGTGTCCCTGAACAAGACACTCAACCTTAATTTACTTCAGGGGTTGTGTCCCTGTAATCACTGAAATGTAAGGACGTCAGCTAAATGTAAAGGTGATGCTCTTATCATAATTTGTTAGGCGAACAAATGGTGTAAACGCTTTGTCATATGGCAAATCGTTGTCGGAAGGAGGGTCAACAACATGTAGGCTCATTCGAACACGCCAGCGCTGGATGCGTAAGCCTCGAGAACGCGGACTCCCAATTATGTAGGCTTCACCTGCATTTGGTGTATTCTGTAAAATTTCTCTCACGTTTCAATTACATCTGTCAGATATGACAGTGTAAGAAACTGGTCGAACTCCAAGGCGTTGCCTGTGATTGTAAAGCATTTTGAATTGATTGATTGATTCATATCAGTGAAGAACTGTATTATGTCTTCATTAGCCCAAACACCCAGGAATGAGCTAAGTAAAAAATAAATGAAAATTTTTTACGAATGCATAGTATTAGCTAAAGTACGATTGCAATCAGTTGCTACGATTGAAGAATGCATTTCCGACTGTTCAATACTGAAACACCTTCCGGATATACTGAAATGTTTTCATGCACATAAACATGTGAAAAGCTTCACTATTGCTATAATGAATGTTTAACACACAGTTTACGTTTTATGCTGAAGCCTGTATGTTATTTTTGTTACATAATCTATTTCACATGCACCTGTATAAGCATTTCATATGTGCGCGAGTCCTCTATCTGTATGAACATTTCATATGTGTGTGTGAGTGTGAGAAATACATTTCACCTGTATCTGTATGAGCATTTCATGTGTGTGTGTGAGTGTGAGAAAATACATTTCACCTGTATCTGTATGAGCATTTCATATGTGTCTGTGTAAGTGCATTTCACCTGTATCTGTATGAGCATTTCGTATGTGTCTGTGTAAGTGCATTTCACCTGTATCTGTATGAGCATTTCATATGTGTCTGTGTGAGTGCATTTCACCTGAATCTGTATGAGTGTTTCATATATGTGTGAGTCTTCAGTTGTATAGATGTATGCGTGACAGTTTCATATGTGTATGTGTTTCAAATGCGCAAACGTCTGAAATATTTCCTAAACAGCCCCTCATAGGAACCCAGTACTGCTCTCTCAGTTTGGAAACCATAAAGTTATTTTTGATTTGATATCGGACACATTATTTTCATTCATAAAAATACATTTTACCAGACTCATTTAACCATTGCACCATATCTTCATCAAAACCTTCATACTGTTGTTCAACACTTGTAAACCATTTATTTTGTTTGTCTTTCTCCTCGACAGACCATAAAGGAATAACCAAAGTATGTATTTCAGAAACCTTTGCAAATAGTTGTAAATAAAAGTTTCACCCTTTGTGCAGTTTCATCATTGTGGTTTCATTTTACCTTTCGATTTATTGACATTCGTCCGTAGATCCCTTCGTACTTTCCGCTTTTACAGCCACGGCTTTCACTGTCAGTTTTATTTCTCTCTTTTGAGTAACACCTATTTCATCTTCATCATTACTATCCATTTCCCCTGATTTGCCAATACGTACACAACGGATTAAGACATTCACCACCTGACCTGTAGTGACAATATCAGCTGAACAACTTCCCCGTACTTCATCTTCCATAGCAGCATTCACTGATTTTCCTGTAATGTCCGCTTTAAAACGTGTTTTTACCGCATTTGTAGTTTGTATTATTTAACTTATCTGTATAACTTGGCCGCTTCGTCCTATAGTGCTGCTGCGCAGCTGGGAGAGTCTGCTTGATGCGTGTTTTCTTATTTGGAGAAACTTACCCATTGATATGTTAGCTTGATTTATTAAACGCTGACATTTTCTTTGTCCTTCATTCACAATATACACAAATGTGCGCCTATTGCACTGAGCCCAATACCCACATGTTTACGTGAATAAATAAACATACCAAATTAACACATATAACAGTTAACAGAAAGTTCTGAATCCCTGCTCACTTACACTCCAATAGTAAAAGATAAGCTAATTATTTAAATTTCATACTTCAGTTTATTCATTTATTTTCTTTATTATTTCTGCCGATTGAAGTCCCAAAACGGGTTTGTGAAAGTCATGCAGTAAAGCCTAGTTCATACCTCACCTTTCTGCGCGCACTATCGTGCACTTTCTAGCTGGGGACGGTCGTGCTCGTAACCAGCTCGTGTTCATACTATATTTGGCTGCGGATGGTCGTGTTCGGTGCTGCAAACAGCAGTGATATTCCATCACACCAGGAGAGGGCAGATGTATTCCAACAAACACAAATACAAGCAGTATATCGAGACGGGGAAACGTTTTTGAACAGTTGAAGTTATTACTCTAGGTTTGAGCGGTATTACAGTGATAAGGCATATTGTGGTATTTTGAAATCCTTATGACAAAATTAGCTGGGACCCCAACCCCCCCACCGGCTCAGCGAATTTTATGGCCAAGAATTCAAAATGCCAGAGCAGTGTGGTTTTTTCAAATGCTGTATACCTCAGTATAATGTCTGGACAGTATGAAAAATTAGATATGCAGGTACCTCTGACCCTCCTGATAGAACTGCTCACTAAAACTACTACAACAGCAGCTATTCTTCCTCTACTCTTTTGTCGTTGAGCCCTGATGCGTGAAAGTCAGTGCTGCCATCTACTGGAAACATCTAATCAATTATCATGCACACACACGGTCCATGTGCATGGATGTGCAAAGTTTCCACTAGACATAAAAATCTGGGCCACACGTGCAGCGATCACAGCTGTCCGCTGCCAACCCCTGATGGTGAAATACATGTCATGCCCTGTCGTCCGCAACCAAAAGCGCACGCGGAAAAGTGAAGTACGAATTGGCCTTTAGAAGGAAGAAATCATTGTGTGATATAATGAGATATTAATAATAGATCTCTGAAGCATCCTCCGCCTCCATGTCAATGATCCTCAGACTCTTGACGTTGTAGTAGAGCTGCAAGAATTGCTCAAGTTGAGCAGCACCCTGTAGCAGAAATAGTAGCATCAGCAGGGGTCACAGTGATTCCGACACATCCCTCACGTCACAGTATTTATCTGTCTGATACCCTGCTGGTATTAGCTTTTGACTCCAAAAATATCTCTGGAAACATCAAAACTGTGGCCTGAGCCTGGGTAGGTCAGTGTCTGCCTGTGAGCTTAAAGTCACATCTGAGAGGATGTTGCACTGGCCAAATGGTTCTTTGTTTAAGTTGGCATGTCTGTGGGGGGGGGGGGGTGGTTGCATGATCTCCTCATACTTCCAGGTCCGAGTTGAATTCTCACCACCTGGTCTATGTCTGTGAAGTTTGCATCTTCCTTGTTCTTGTGTGGGTTGCCCATGGCTATTGTAGTTCTGCCTTAAATGAACTGGGGCCCAGGGTGTGAAATTGCATGTAAGCAACTCACACTCGCGGAGCAGGAACATGCGTCACTGCAGTGGTAGAGCTCCAGTACTCACCGCGTAAATCGCATTGTCTACTTCGTACATGTTGATGGTACTTGGAGCCCGGAGCTTGAGATTCAAGTTGATAAACACCCTTATATCTGTAACGAGAAACGAGAGGCGCTGTTTCTCTGCCCTTATTCTGTCCTGAATGCTGGTGGAGTTGTGTGCATTTTCCACATGACACCAGGAAAACATGCAATCTCTACACAGAGAGGGGAGAGAGGATTCAAAGCCCCCAGTCCTGGAGATGCAAAATTGAATGACACCGTTATGGCATTAATAAGTATTTTTCAAATTTTGCTTAGAATTCATAAGTATGATGTTTGTTTTATTTAAACAAGCCCGTAATGCAATATATTAGGAGTTATTAGGTCTGCAGCTTACCTGGAGGCTGAGATGGAGTTGGAATTGGGCCAGTTGTAGCCAAAGGAGGCGGAGTTGTTACTGCGCCAGTTGTAGCCAGAGGAGGCGGAGTTGTTACTGCGCCAGTTGAGGTCAAAAAAGGCGGAGCTGGAACTGGGCCAGTTGTAGTCAAAGGAGGCGAAGTTCTTACTGGGCCAGTTGAGGTCAAACGAGGCGGAGCTGGATATGTGCCAAGCGTTTTAGTGTCACTGATGTAAGGTACAATCACATAAGAATATAATCCATTTAGGTAAGGGGGCCTCAACTAGTTGGGCCAAATTCCATCAGCAACACAAAGCCCAGGTCCACTGCCTCTGATGAACAAAAATATGCCACTGCTGATAAAATTTGCCAAACTGGGTGTGGCGGCACAATCTGGATGACTTAGGTTATATTCTGACCTATGCCGCTTTCCCACTGCCACCAAGAACCAAGCCGTAAGGCAAACTGACGGTTTCCCATGTATTAAATGAGTCGTACCTGAGCCAAACCTATGCTGACATGGACCCGCTCTGGTCTGTTTGTACTCAAAGAAATCTTCTGGTTTAATAAGGATTTACAAAATAACTCTGTTGAACAAAACAGAAAAAAAACCTGCACCTGTCAGCGACTTGCGTACAATTTGACAGAACATAGCTCAGGGCTCTTCCTTACAGAATATTTACAGACAAAGACATAATTTTACCACGCCCGATTCAACGGGTATGTAACCTTTAAATAAACCACAGCAGATGTAGCCAAACCCAAATCTTACGCCAGGAGTATTTCTGGATGATTACCCCCTACGACCAGCAAACCCCCATCCTTGACTTTCGTCATGGGTTTACCCAATTCAGCTGTCAGGAATACACAATTAGCTATGGGCTAATTAAGCCATTTACAAGAACAACAACTGATACATAAATCCTATACGGACGATGCTGTGACCACATAGATGGCATCACAGGCCGTGGAACTAAACGGAGGCCATGGAGCGGCAGCTGAAGGTGATTAACACGAGGGTTAGGAATGAGAGGCAAGACAAACGAGTAACAGGTAAGGCTTGTTAGGGCCATGCTGGGGAGGAGACAGGGGGGTCACGAGGACATGGTGGGCAGGAAGGGACACAAGTAACTAGTTATCTAATTAAGATGAGTTTGCTTAAGAAGTGGACTGAGAACCACAGAAGTAAATTACAGTCTAAGCTGCACCACAGTCAATTTTTCAACAGCAATTGTGAGTCAAATAATGTCTCTGGACTGTTCATCAGTCCATCATGGAGTAGCAATCAGTTCTCTTTCTTCCCCGTCCCCTAAGACATAATTTACCTGTTGTGGACTGTCCTCTCTCCACCAGCAGAAGAAGCAGGAACACAGCGATCACAGAGAAGCTGCCCATCTTGATTCCTGACAGTCAGTTCCACAGTGAAACGTGATGAAACCAAAACTGTCCATTTATCCCATCCACCCACTCTTGGTGGGAGGGGCTTTGTATGCTGGTTCTTCTCAGTATTTAGCTTAGTCAACTCTTGTTCGCTCTCAAGTTTGCCTCTCCCACAATTAGGAAAAAGGAACAAATATTAAGAATTGTAAATATACATGTAGTGCTCCTAAATAGCTCCTTTACTTCATTTTCAATGGCCAATGCAAACCCACTACTGGTTCCTACTGGGGGGTGGAACACTGCCCCTAACATAATTAACCAGAATGAGGCTTATCAGGATGGGTCCACATACTACACAAACACACCAGTCTGGCCAGTAACTCAGGCCGGGCAGGTACAGATAACAAATTCACAGATAGTATTGTAGTCACTCGAAGCACAGGAATACCTCACCACACACACACACACACACGCACACACACACACACACACACGGCACTCAATACGCACAGGAAATGTTAAGGCAAAGTTACATGTACACGCATTGCGGCAGACTAGCCACCGGTGTGGTTTACAAAGAAAAAAAAAAAACGCAACAACCATAAAAAAATCAATAAAAAGCGACAAACCAATGATTCAAACGAAAAATACAAGACGCACACAGAGTTAGTTCCGCTCTTATGACCGGGCCGCACACGCGGAGCCACACGAGCCAGAGAGCACTGGAGGGACGACCCCACATGCCACAGTCCGGAAGAAGGAATTCCTCTGCTCTGGGAATGACCGAACAAGATCACCATATAGCCTATTGGTATAGGCAGTACCAAGTCAATCAGGGCCCAGTTAACGTAAACATCACATTGATTAGGAGGTGTAGGAATTATTAGCTCAGGTAATTTTAATATCTCCACCAATATGTTTGAAATTAATTAAAGCTTAATTAATTATTATTTAATGCTTATTATTAACCAATCGTTATGCCGAATGG